ATAAAGAAGAAGACGAAGAAGAAGTAGTAGTAGATGATGAAGAAGAACAATATGATAATGATGATCAATTTAATATGGAAAATCAATTAAAAAAATTAACTAACTATTTAAGAGATAAACATTTTTATTGTATTTGGTGTGGACAAACATTTGAAACATTAGATGAATTACAAAATACTTGTCCTGGAAATGAAAGAGATTTACATTAAATTCTATCTATTTTCAGATAGATATGTAATCAAATAGAATACAGTTTATTTTTCATAATACGTCTTGTATATCAATTGTATTTTTTTTTTGTTTCATTATCAAATAAAAGCAAGATATTCTCAATTCTTGCAATAAGAGTATTTCACATTTTATAATTTCGTTTAAAACAGACAATCGTATGAACAATATATAAGTAGAGTTAGTAACTAAGGCCGATAAAAATGATTGCAAACGGTAGACAACAGCAAACGTCAATGCTATTACGCGACCATTTTTCGTAATTCTATAAAGTTATGGAAATTGTGGGAAAATACGGGATGACGAATTAAAGCTAAGTCGAAGATTGTGGGTGTTCCCTGCAATATCATCTACCTACACTCATCCTAAGAAGATCTAGTTCTATTAGAGATAGATCCGTTGTAATTAATATTATATTCTATAATATCAACATCTACTATTTCAAGAACTTATTTTTCTTTCTTTTTAAGTCAAACGAAATTGATTTTGATGTTATTTATAATTTTTTCTAATATCAATCATGTTGACATGCTAGTCCATTATTTCTAAACAAATCACGCGAAGATATATGTATATATAGAAACTTCTATTTTCTTTTTGATTATCGTACAATGAAAAATATTCTTGCACTGAATGAACATCAGTTCGTCAACTGATAAATCGCTTTTGAGTTGAGACTATGTGCATTATTTAGGCCCAAATAAGCTATGAATGTCTTGAAAAGAGTTCGTATCCTTAGTTTATTAAATACCACATTCTACGGTATTTTTCAAATGAATGCCATAATCGTCGTCAGAAAAACAGATTTTCGAATTTCGACTTGAAAGTTTGTTTCTATTCTAAAATAAGAACATCAAATCTGCCGGTGATATATGAGCAATATAAAAGACATGCTATTATCATAGTAGTATTTTCAGATAGAAATAATGACAAGCATTTGCAAAGAAAAACTAAAGTCTGTCTCTATACAAAGTTTCAAATCAAACTTTGAAAATCAGTTTTCCTAGGGTTACTAAGAGGGACTACAGCATTGTAAAGGTGCAGTATCTCCACAGTAAGAAGCTAAAGATCTAAACTATTTTCAGAGTGTTCATAGATCATTGGGATCTAGATTATGCACATAGTCTCCATTAAAAAGCGACTTATCAGTTGTAGAGCTGCCCCCGTTAGTCAGTTCTTTGCCATCTCTATTCAATTCAAAGATAAAATTATATCATATTCATAAATATTGTTTGACAAGTCTACGAAACATATCATATACTTGTTCATTTATTTGATTGTATTGACTTCAGTATGAACAACTTACCACATTACAGTTTTATTCTGATTCGAAACAGATAAAATAGAACCAAAAATTACAACAAGTACTTTAGTTACATTTGTAATTTTTCCTATAACCACTATCTTATAAAACATTCAGAATAAACATTTTTTGTTAAACATTTAAAATGCTGCGTTGTTAAGACAGAGAACAAAGCTGATGTATACTTATTACTCTCTATGTACCATTGTTTCAGTATGTATATTTCGTATTTCATTTATTATACTCAATATAACTCAATAATCTATTTAAAAAAAGTGAGACATATTAGAAGTAGAAGAAATTCCATCGATTTAAAAAAAAATTGATAATAATCTAATTACAATCTATGCCCGTCAATATTAATGCGTTTGACTGAAAACATTCAATGGAGTATTTATAACAGAATAGAATTATGCATGTTGCAGTAATGAAATTAGTTTAATACTAGTATATTACTTGAATAAGTTTCTGTAATACTGATGATAGCTAATTGAGCACATACGATTTTCTTCAGAATGTTTTTATTGACATCGAATTCATTGCTAGGTTATTCTTTTTATCGTATCAACAATATATTTGCAGAATCAAATTTATAATATTTATTTTATCGAAAGAATGCTACAAGTATTATGTATTAAAACTATTCTTTACATGCTTTTGTTTGAATATTAATAGCAAATTTTGTGATTTATATTGTTGAAGTAAAACAAAGATTTCGTACGTTTCTACATAGTTATTCTCAATGCATAGGTTTAATAAAATATTTTCTCATAAATATCTCTTACTGATTAAGTATGACATCTAGACTATATTATGCCTAATATATAGAAAGAAGCTTTCCATGGATAGTTATTGTTCGCTCCATTCTTCTTTTCTTGTTTTTTTCAAAGTTAGAATGAATCATGCGTTAATCATTCGATGAATGTGTTCATGTAAAAGTAAATATATTCCATTATATTTTTCATTGATATTTATTAGTTATAGTTAAAAACTTGTAAGAAATGTGTATATTTTGTTTTACATTTATTTTTATCAGTAAAATATTCAATTTTCAATTTGAACAAAACAATAATGATTCGTCGAGTTATTTACGATGTTGAATTTCGTGTATTAGTAAAAGAAAAATTAAATTCATGTGATAGTGTTCTTGTAACTGGCTCATGTGAACAATTGGGTGAATGGATACCAAATCGTTGTATACCATTAAATCGTATTGATCGAATAGAAAACGGTGAAATATGGTCAACAAATATGAAAATCTATGGCCGAGAAAAAGTTTTTTATCGATATATTATTGCACAAATTGTTCGAATTGATGATGATATGAATTTAATTATCAAAAAATGTACATTTTATTTTATTTTCTCTTACAAAAAACAAATGTCCTTTTTTTCTGCATAGGGGAAACATTTAAAGAAGCACGACAATTATCATTCAATTCAATTGAAACGAATGATCTTACTAATAATGAACTATCAGAAGAATTTCCAGACGTATTTGGTTGTTATAAAAATATATGTCGTACTGATATTGGTTGGTTAACAGGCCAGTCAGAAATACAATTACGTTTTCATTCAAGTTTTCTACAAATATGGTCAACAAAATTACGCAATAAAATATTTTCATTAAAAGTTTCACCGATAGATTTAACATATCAACAAGAAAATGAAGAAATAACATCAGATTCATCAAATCAAAATTATACACCAATATCAAAAGTATTTATTCAATCAGCTATATTACGTTTATCGGGTTGTGAAACAAATATTCAAAGTGATTATGGTGCAGTTCTCGAAAAAGATGATTATTTTATTGTTAAAATTCAAACATTTGAACCTGAAAATGTTGCTTATCATATTGATTTTTATGTAGTTGATGAATCGGAACCATTAAGAAATCATATAGGATTCGCTTATGTTTTACCAGTACATTCTAATCATGAATTAAGCGATAATAAACATCTCAATCGGACTGTACCGATTATTGGACTCAAACATAATCCGTTCGTATTGTCTTTCATTATCATATTTAAATGAATATTCTTTGTTATTTTTCTTTTTGTTTCTAGAATAGGACAAATTAAAATAGATGTTTTGTTAATTACACCATTAAAAGGTATTCAACAAAAATTTCTTGTTACACAATCAAAATATTGGCGTGAAGGTCGAAGACCAGTAAATGTTGGTCATAGAGGTTTAGGTAAGAAAAATAAACAATGTAAAACGATAACACAATCATTTATTAACATAAGCTTTCACAAGTAGAATGCCAGCGAATCAATTTGAAACAGTGAAGTCGGTTACTATTTCTAGTTACACATAGGTACAGCTGTGCTAGTGCAATCGACGTCGTGTATGTCAATAAGAAATATCATTGAAACGAATAAAGAAGATTCTTGATTGTTCTCAGTTACCATGTGCAAAGCTCATGTAAGGAATTTTAATGAGAACTCAGAATAAAATCGGTTGAAATCAAATGTTTTTGTCTCTTTCCTTACGTGTGAAATCTTCCTCGAAAAAAGAAAATAAAGATCGGACCGAGCCGGGGATCTTTTTTGAGGCCTGATATGACACTGTTTCACATAGCATCTGACTAGGAAAAAACTGGTCTATGACGAACATAATTTTGTGCCTATCGACCTTAAATCATTCAAAAATACTTGATGCTCTCTGTAGACCGCAAAACTATACGTTTCATTGATTTGACATTGATTTCTATCAGATGAGTCTCTTAACTTGAACGAAACAGTGTTATGAAACCCTGCAACCCGTCCAAAGCATGGAAAACTTCTATTGATATGAAAGCATAGAAGTGAAAATCGGCTTGTTCATGACTGAACAGTCTATTGTATTTGAGAACAAGTCACACAAATGCAAAGGGATATTATTTTACTAAAAGAATTCGTTTTTAATGAAAATTCATCTACAAATGATGATAAACCATATGCCGAAGTAATTGAATACATGAAGAGAAAAAAACGAATTATGAAAAAAAGATGAAAATGTATTATCATGATGTAAAAAGTATTCATGTATGCATCCACAATTATGACGTTTAGTATCAACACCGCATTTATTTCCAGCATCATCAGCAACAAGAAAACGATTTTTTGTCTATTTTGAGATAACCTCTTTTTATTGTTACTGTTCTTGAAACAAGTTAAATACTATAGTTTTTCATATAAAATGAAATCTTGAAAATTATAGTGTGACTGTGAAAGTATTTGCCGAATATCGATGAGTTTCGATCCGAATTCGTTCGGATCTGGTTCGTAATCGCATGAAATTATATGTATTTACTAAATTATAATTATTTTCTCGAAACAAAATTAAAATTTCAGGTAAAACAAATGTTGAACATAATCAATCTAAATGTCAGTTAAGTGATTCAACTCATCATCGTTCAAATGATCTTTCAACGAATGTATCAAATAATTCTTCCTCAACTTCATCTATACCAACAACAACACGACCAGTTCAAACAAAATTTGTTAGTGAAAATACATTAGCTTCATTTAAAGGTGCATTTCAACTTGGATTTGATTTTGTTGAATTTGATGTACAATTATCTAAAGATAAAATACCTGTTGTTTATCACGATTTTCAAGTTGCTATTACACTTAAACGTAAATTTCAACAAGCTGAATTATTTGTTGTACCAGTTAAAGATTTAACATTA